TAGGGGTCGCGCTATGTCGTGAATTGGCAGAAGTTAGAATTCATGGACCATTGGATCGGGTCCCAGTGGCTTAATGGTATACGAGCTCGCCTTGTAACCAGAAGGTCCTGGGTTCGAATCCCGGTGGGTGCGTACTGCTGAAGAGTCCCAAACTAGGACGAAACAGCTGTCCAGTACTCCCAGGTTTTCCAATGGTTCTCTAACTGGTGTCAGCTCATGATGAAATCCTGTAACCAATCAAATCCCTACAAACCAACACTTGAAAATCAATGAGATGCTCACTAGCGACTTGCCCTATTCAGGTGGGTAGTCACCTGGGGTTCTAGTGAGAAGTCGTGACCAGTAGGGTGCAGCAGGTCGGGCGTGAGGACAAATACTCGCCGAAGACATTGGCTAGGGGTCGCGCTATGTCGTGAATTGGCAGAAGTTAGAATTCATGGACCATTGGATCGGGTCCCAGTGGCTTAATGGTATACGAGCTCGCCTTGTAACCAGAAGGTCCTGGGTTCGAATCCCGGTGGGTGCGTACTGCTGAAGAGTCCCAAACTAGGACGAAACAGCTGTCCAGTACTCCCAGGTTTTCCAATGGTTCTCTAACTGGTGTCAGCTCATGATGAAATCCTGTAACCAATCAAATCCCTACAAACCAACACTTGAAAATCAATGAGATGCTCACTAGCGACTTGCCCTATTCAGGTAGGTAGTCACCTGGGGTTCTAGTGAGAAGTCGTGACCAGTAGGGTGCAGCAGGTCGGGCGTGAGGACAAATACTCGCCGAAGACATTGGCTAGGGGTCGCGCTATGTCGTGAATTGGCAGAAGTTAGAATTCATGGACCATTGGATCGGGTCCCAGTGGCTTAATGGTATACGAGCTCGCCTTGTAACCAGAAGGTCCTGGGTTCGAATCCCGGTGGGTGCGTACTGCTGAAGAGTCCCAAACTAGGACGAAACAGCTGTCCAGTACTCCCAGGTTTTCCAATGGTTCTCTAACTGGTGTCAGCTCATGATGAAATCCTGTAACCAATCAAATCCCTACAAACCAACACTTGAAAATCAATGAGATGCTCACTAGCGACTTGCCCTATTCAGGTGGGTAGTCACCTGGGGTTCTAGTGAGAAGTCGTGACCAGTAGGGTGCAGCAGGTCGGGCGTGAGGACAAATACTCGCCGAAGACATTGGCTAGGGGTCGCGCTATGTCGTGAATTGGCAGAAGTTAGAATTCATGGACCATTGGATCGGGTCCCAGTGGCTTAATGGTATACGAGCTCGCCTTGTAACCAGAAGGTCCTGGGTTCGAATCCCGGTGGGTGCGTACTGCTGAAGAGTCCCAAACTAGGACGAAACAGCTGTCCAGTACTCCCAGGTTTTCCAATGGTTCTCTAACTGGTGTCAGCTCATGATGAAATCCTGTAACCAATCAAATCCCTACAAACCAACACTTGAAAATCAATGAGATGCTCACTAGCGACTTGCCCTATTCAGGTGGGTAGTCACCTGGGGTTCTAGTGAGAAGTCGTGACCAGTAGGGTGCAGCAGGTCGGGCGTGAGGACAAATACTCGCCGAAGACATTGGCTAGGGGTCGCGCTATGTCGTGAATTGGCAGAAGTTAGAATTCATGGACCATTGGATCGGGTCCCAGTGGCTTAATGGTATACGAGCTCGCCTTGTAACCAGAAGGTCCTGGGTTCGAATCCCGGTGGGTGCGTACTGCTGAAGAGTCCCAAACTAGGACGAAACAGCTGTCCAGTACTCCCAGGTTTTCCAATGGTTCTCTAACTGGTGTCAGCTCATGATGAAATCCTGTAACCAATCAAATCCCTACAAACCAACACTTGAAAATCAATGAGATGCTCACTAGCGACTTGCCCTATTCAGGTGGGTAGTCACCTGGGGTTCTAGTGAGAAGTCGTGACCAGTAGGGTGCAGCAGGTCGGGCGTGAGGACAAATACTCGCCGAAGACATTGGCTAGGGGTCGCGCTATGTCGTGAATTGGCAGAAGTTAGAATTCATGGACCATTGGATCGGGTCCCAGTGGCTTAATGGTATACGAGCTCGCCTTGTAACCAGAAGGTCCTGGGTTCGAATCCCGGTGGGTGCGTACTGCTGAAGAGTCCCAAACTAGGACGAAACAGCTGTCCAGTACTCCCAGGTTTTCCAATGGTTCTCTAACTGGTGTCAGCTCATGATGAAATCCTGTAACCAATCAAATCCCTACAAACCAACACTTGAAAATCAATGAGATGCTCACTAGCGACTTGCCCTATTCAGGTGGGTAGTCACCTGGGGTTCTAGTGAGAAGTCGTGACCAGTAGGGTGCAGCAGGTCGGGCGTGAGGACAAATACTCGCCGAAGACATTGGCTAGGGGTCGCGCTATGTCGTGAATTGGCAGAAGTTAGAATTCATGGACCATTGGATCGGGTCCCAGTGGCTTAATGGTATACGAGCTCGCCTTGTAACCAGAAGGTCCTGGGTTCGAATCCCGGTGGGTGCGTACTGCTGAAGAGTCCCAAACTAGGACGAAACAGCTGTCCAGTACTCCCAGGTTTTCCAATGGTTCTCTAACTGGTGTCAGCTCATGATGAAATCCTGTAACCAATCAAATCCCTACAAACCAACACTTGAAAATCAATGAGATGCTCACTAGCGACTTGCCCTATTCAGGTGGGTAGTCACCTGGGGTTCTAGTGAGAAGTCGTGACCAGTAGGGTGCAGCAGGTCGGGCGTGAGGACAAATACTCGCCGAAGACATTGGCTAGGGGTCGCGCTATGTCGTGAATTGGCAGAAGTTAGAATTCATGGACCATTGGATCGGGTCCCAGTGGCTTAATGGTATACGAGCTCGCCTTGTAACCAGAAGGTCCTGGGTTCGAATCCCGGTGGGTGCGTACTGCTGAAGAGTCCCAAACTAGGACGAAACAGCTGTCCAGTACTCCCAGGTTTTCCAATGGTTCTCTAACTGGTGTCAGCTCATGATGAAATCCTGTAACCAATCAAATCCCTACAAACCAACACTTGAAAATCAATGAGATGCTCACTAGCGACTTGCCCTATTCAGGTGGGTAGTCACCTGGGGTTCTAGTGAGAAGTCGTGACCAGTAGGGTGCAGCAGGTCGGGCGTGAGGACAAATACTCGCCGAAGACATTGGCTAGGGGTCGCGCTATGTCGTGAATTGGCAGAAGTTAGAATTCATGGACCATTGGATCGGGTCCCAGTGGCTTAATGGTATACGAGCTCGCCTTGTAACCAGAAGGTCCTGGGTTCGAATCCCGGTGGGTGCGTACTGCTGAAGAGTCCCAAACTAGGACGAAACAGCTGTCCAGTACTCCCAGGTTTTCCAATGGTTCTCTAACTGGTGTCAGCTCATGATGAAATCCTGTAACCAATCAAATCCCTACAAACCAACACTTGAAAATCAATGAGATGCTCACTAGCGACTTGCCCTATTCAGGTAGGTAGTCACCTGGGGTTCTAGTGAGAAGTCGTGACCAGTAGGGTGCAGCAGGTCGGGCGTGAGGACAAATACTCGCCGAAGACATTGGCTAGGGGTCGCGCTATGTCGTGAATTGGCAGAAGTTAGAATTCATGGACCATTGGATCGGGTCCCAGTGGCTTAATGGTATACGAGCTCGCCTTGTAACCAGAAGGTCCTGGGTTCGAATCCCGGTGGGTGCGTACTGCTGAAGAGTCCCAAACTAGGACGAAACAGCTGTCCAGTACTCCCAGGTTTTCCAATGGTTCTCTAACTGATGTCAGCTCATGATGAAATCCTGTAACCAATCAAATCCCTACAAACCAACACTTGAAAATCAATGAGATGCTCACTAGCGACTTGCCCTATTCAGGTGGGTAGTCACCTGGGGTTCTAGTGAGAAGTCGTGACCAGTAGGGTGCAGCAGGTCGGGCGTGAGGACAAATACTCGCCGAAGACATTGGCTAGGGGTCGCGCTATGTCGTGAATTGGCAGAAGTTAGAATTCATGGACCATTGGATCGGGTCCCAGTGGCTTAATGGTATACGAGCTCGCCTTGTAACCAGAAGGTCCTGGGTTCGAATCCCGGTGGGTGCGTACTGCTGAAGAGTCCCAAACTAGGACGAAACAGCTGTCCAGTACTCCCAGGTTTTCCAATGGTTCTCTAACTGGTGTCAGCTCATGATGAAATCCTGTAACCAATCAAATCCCTACAAACCAACACTTGAAAAGTGAAGATGTATTGCTGAGGCCCTATGTTCCACTGGGAACCCAAGAGGACAACATTAATAATAATTCACATTTCCGAATGTACTTTATTTTCCGATTATCTAGTTCACACATGTCGTCTACTGAACTTTCGGTTGGCCCTTATTTATTTACTTAGTTATTTATATATCCAATCAAAATTTGTAACTAATAATCATATATGATTGTACAGCTATGAAAATGAAATCATCGAAAAAAAAGTTTTTCCACTAAATTCTTTGTTTTTATGTCTCAGTGGGGATTATATTTTTTTAATATTCCTTTACGTTCCCAGTGGAACATGGGGCTTCAAGCTGTGAGCTTAGAATTTTCCGTAGCAGTGGTGTTTATTTTTTTACGGGATGGGTTTGCTAGCCTCATACCCAACCTTCCCCCTTTACCAGTCTTATTACTGGCTTAGCGAGGTAGCAAGGAGTGCGTCGACTGGGGATCGAACCCCGGACCACATGTGTGGTCGGCAAACATTCTACCGCTGTGCCACTGACGCACAATGGGGATTATTAATTCAAGTTAATTTACTTTTTGCTATTTCATCCCGTATACTACTTAAAATCAGGCAGTAGCACAAATCTTATGTAAAGCTTTCAGGTGAGAACACACTTTTGTGGTATTGCGTTAGATAAAACATAATTAATGGGAAAAGGATGAGCTGGGAACTTTTTCAAAGCTCAGTGAGGGTATTTTGAAAGTAATTTACTCAAAAAAAGTTAGAAAAAAGCAAATAAACAGAGAAATTAATACTCCCTCACTCACTCACCTTTAGCCTTTTTAATATCCAAAACACGTCGGTTGACGTCAGCTTCAGCAGCGTTAGCTCGAGATTCAGCCTGTATTAATTTCAATTTGAATTTGTTATATTATAAGCACACAGCAAGCAGTCAAGGCATACAAGTAAAATAAGGAGGAAATATGAAAACTAATACCCAGGAAGAAAGGAACTCCTTAAACACACACAGGCTCGCACGCACGCACATATGCCTCTCTCCTCCATGACAGAGACATGCGGTTTTGGAGAATATCTACGGTCAAGACACTTTAAACAAGTGTCTTTGAGTGTCTGTGTGTGTGTGGACGCATGAACTCAAGTGAGTAAACCGTATAAGGTTATGCCTAAAAATGCATTACATGCTTATGCATGCACACTGTTATTGAGCAAGCATGTTATGCATCGACGGGAGAATCGCACCTTCCAAATGATCAACCTCATTTTGTAATTTGGAGACTTGACGTTCAGCTTCAGCAGCTCGTTGTTCAGCCTACAGGAACACAACAGGTATGTAAGTAAGAAAGTCAGTATAACAGTAGTGATATATACTTTGAGTGAATTTCACGTCACGATGCCAACACATTCAAATACAGTGGCGGCGCCAGCTGTAGTTGAAATTGCATTCTCTCCTATTTGCATGCGAATAGCATTCCGGTGAAAATAATGGAGACATGCAGTAGTGTTAAATTACTTCCAACCTATTCTTCTTGACACACATTCAACAAAAATACAATAAAGACGAAATCAAAGTACACAATCTGTACTTCATGAAATATGCCAATGATCTAACCATTGCTGTCCCAGTAGTTTCTGCATTGGACTGTTCATATATGAATAGATTCTTATTCGAAGTTAATCAATGGTCTCACTCAAATGGTCTTAAACTAAATCCATCTAAATTGTCATACTGTTGATTTTAGTTTCAGATGAGAAAAAGACTTGCGTGGACTGACTGATTCAGTCCCATGATTCCTGTAATACTGACGGCACTGTGTGATAGGGAGTAAATCGAATATCTCTTATCTCGACAACAGTTTCTCTTCGAATCTCTGTTGATCGTCTCAGATCTTGTGGATTTCTAAGAAAAATTTTCGTTTGACTTATTACATAAAGAAGTTTAGACTTTGTGTAATAACTCAACCTCTCCTCTTACAATTTATTAATTCATGTACCCTGACCATTCTTCTTTATTGTTCACCCTTATTCTTCCCTGTGCTTCTCAAGAAAGACTATATCATATTATGTAGAACAATGAGGGCTTTAAGTAGGGTTAGTGGGGTGCTGACTGCCATTATTGTCAACAGGCACTTGAATTTTCTCAAGCAGTTAGCTAAAGCCATCTTGTCTGATGCCGAACATCCTCTCCACTTATTCCAAACTTCCTCCTTGTATCTCTTCATGGGTAAAACCAGAAGAAACTTCAAAAGAATTTATGCTCGTACAGTCATTAAATATATAAAACTCCTACCATACCATTTTAGCAAGCGTGTTTGTGTGAAGACTCAGATGTCAGAAAGGAACTTATAAACCTTTTAAATCAGTAATCTGAACTGCAAAGCTAAAGCCAAGATCATTATTACATGTAGCATCTATGATATTATCTACTTATACTTCATTATGTTTCCACCGATATTCTGTTTATAGTGGTTTCACTACTAATATTATTATCACTATTTTAAATTTTATGTATGGACATATTTATAAAAGGAGCTAAATTGTTAGAATATGTATAAAAACACTTAAAATTCCATTCTGTATAATTATTATTGTTCGGATTAAAGTTATCACTATTATTATTGCAATATCATATTATGATATGGTTTAAGGCGATCCGATAAGAAGACTTATCTGACCTAGATCTATGGGTTTCGTACTTGTAGGCAATCATCAGTTAGCAAGGAGTAGCTGCAACTTTGAAGCAAACTCATATCTTCGACAGATTCTGGAACAGAACATAGGCATACTAACCGGTCTCCAACAATTGTTACATTTCTTGACCTAAAAGTGACATTCGATTCCGTCGACCGAGAGGTAACAAGGCCGTGAAGGGAACGCCGAGGAAATACATAGCACTAACCAAGGCACTCTACTCGAACTCACGCAGCCACATAAGAGCCTATGAAGAGTCTCTCATCTGAAGTGATCAAAACCAGTGGTGTCCGTCAAGGATACCCACTGTCCCCTTTTCTGTTTAATTTTATCATAGATGTACTAATGGAATTAAATCTAACTGACTCCTGCGACTTAGGGATTGACTTGTTACCACCAGGGAATAATCTCGTTGACTTACAATATGTGGATGATATAGTCCTACCTCCTACCTGAAGATGCACTGATATAATAGAGCAGAGTCTTCTGATGAACACCTTGACCAGCAATCTTCGAATGATTAGCATGCGATTTGCTCCTGTCAAATGTAAGATAATGAGGCTACAGGACTAGACTACATCGACTTACTCCTAGCTCAAAGATTGGCAGGAGTGAAGTGATGGTAGAGCGTGTTGAACACCACTTCACTCACAGACTGATCGCTGACGAAATTTCACCACGGATACAACAGGCTCGTTTGTTATTTGCCAACTTTCACTATCTGTAGCTTGGTAGACGTGATATCAATCACCACTTCGCTGGTTCTCAATCAAAGTACTCATTGTTTAGTTATATTAAAAATGTAATACATTACAGATGAACTTACTTCCTTAACATGATGAGTTAAAACACTTAAACGTTCTTCCAAATCTTTTTCAACCTCAGCTGACTATATATACACACATGCAGCAGCAGTACAAGTTGGTTATGTTCATCACCATGACATTCCAGGATTGTCAAACACATGCACAAATTAAAAATATATGTATTAAGTCGATCCAATAGTGTATATGCGAAGAGAAATGAAAATAAAACGACCATGTGAGATTACGAGAAATGAAATACGTATAATAAAGAATGATATATGATGACAGGAAATCAATATGCTCCTGTTTAGTTCCTCAGGAAAAAGAAATAAACTGGGAACACGTGAGTTAGTGTCTGTCAGCAAACAGATCTCTTCCTTTCGTAATTTCATTTCATACCTGTACACAGTTACTTCTTCGGGGTAGTAACAACAAGATCCCAACTCTCCGCACACAAGTCAATTATCAACACAGATATACACAGTCGATCATAGGAATAATTAAAAAGACGGTTGATGGCAGCAAAGATAGTTTTCTTTTCAACGAAGTCATCAACTAGATAGATAGCCAGACGTACATTCTCCTGTGTATTTATAGTAAATAATCGATGAGAAACTTCCAGAAATCTATTTCCAGTCAAGGGTGAAATTCATAAAATTACAAAGTGTAATAAACAGGAAGATCACATAAAATACAAACACAGTAAGAACAGAGTTACTGAGAAACTTGACTTTTTTGTGCAATTAGGGATTTTTTTAAAACGTAAAAATAACAGAAATAAACAAGAAGATTAGATAAGAAGGGTAAAAGGATAATCATTATTGAGAGATGGTCATGGTAGAGAAAACGGTTGGACGTATTTCTTTTGAATACATAACATGGGGATGAACTTGTGAGTCGCTGGTGCTTCAGCTATGCCTTGATCTCACTCCCTTTGAGAGACAGAGAGAGGTTTGATCAGAACTTGGATACATGACTTTGAAGGAATTTTCAAATGGAGCTGAATGTCCTGGATTTACCAGATGCTCTGTTACTGAACTATATATAACACACACTTGCATTCTCTCTTTGTAAAGGGATCCAAAAGTTTAAGCCCACGCTATGCATTCAAAAGAAATGCGTCCAACAGTTGTCCCTACCACGATTATCATAACAAGTCAGTCCAATCGATAAGGATTATCCTATTACCTAACTACACTGCTGTTGTTTATCCAAACTTGCTTCCTATTTTGTTATTACCACGTGTTTAATCTCTAAAAGCACAAGAAATAGTTAATTTTCTCAGCGATTGTGATCCTACTATGCCTTTTATCCGATCTTCCTGTTTATTAGACTTGAGTGGAAATAGAGTTCTGCAACTGTCTAACCGATTATTTTACTATAAATACACACGAATGTACATCTGGCTATCTAGTTGATGACTACGTCGAGAGAAAATTTTCGTCGCTGCCATCACAATCGTCTTTAAGTCCTATGATCGAATGTGTATAATTGACCTGTGTGTGTGTGTGTGTGTAGATTTGTGTGTATGTTTGCGCATATGTGTTGGTGAGTGCGTGTGGACACTAGAGTGCACTTCTGTGCGAATCACTAGTGCACTTATAAATGTAAATAAACCAATGGAATAAGAAAAACAAAACAGGAAGTCAATAAGACGACCGGTAGTAGTGGTCAGGTAGGCAGGCAGACAGACACTCTCATGTGAGAAAAGGTCACATCAAACAAACAACTAAACAGGCAATCAAGTCATATGTTGTGCATTCATTCCAAGATTTTATCGATCTAAGGGTGAAAAATAAAATACATGCGATAGAGGTATAAACAAATACAAATACAAAATCAGCACTCCACTCCATTTCACTTCACTTAATGGCACTGCAACACAAACAAATCTAATGAACACATGCCAAAAACAACAGGCCTAACAGAACAAAGTGAATAATTGAAAAAAGGCTTACAGCCTTTAATCGTTCAGTTAAATCTCGGATAGTTTCTTCATAACTTTCTTCTCTTTGGGCTGACTAGAATTTTAGAGTGAATTTTGAATAGAAAACATGAAGGAATGTGAATGAACAATGAATGAATTAGGAGACCTTGAAGGAAGAAAAAAGTTACAATCCTATAATTGTCATTGGTAACTCAGAATATCAATTAGAGAACCATTGTAAGACCAGGGAGTACTGAACAGCCGTTTCGTCCTTGTTTGGGACTCTTAACTAGTAGGCACCCACCACAGCAGGGGGTCGAACCTAGGACCTTCCTGATTACATGGAGAGCTCATAGGACATTCACAACCACGCTGGACCCGATCCGATCTAATGACCTATAATTTCAAAGTTATGCCAGTGTTCGTGGAGTATATTGGTGATGGTTCTCTAACTGATGTCGTCAGCTTGTGTATTATTATTATTGTTCACTTGGGTTCTGAGTGAAACACAGGGCTTCCACAGCACGCCTCAACTTTGTTCTATTTTCTACTGTCCTCTTTAGATGGACCCTCGACTGCCCAGTCTCTCATCTCCTGCATGTCACCCTCGGACTAATGTCCAACTCGTTGCTCCCCCTTCGGGTTCCACTTCAGTGATGGCCAGGCACGCAATATCATTCTAAGGTTTTCTCTTATCTATCTCAATTTTCTTCGGAATATTTGTTGAGCAATAGGTCCTTGGCTGATTTGTTCCCAGAGTTCCCAGTCAGTACGTTCGTGATCACATCTGAATTTCACCCTAAATACCATTTTCAGCCCAGAAGTAGATAGAATTTAATTTAAGACTGGTGAAAGCTGAAAGTATTCAGTACCTCAAAGGCTGGAGACATTTATTATTCTTATTTTGATATACACTCTTGTGGCTCTAGAGGAGTTGAACAAATAACAAAAATGAAGAGAACCCAGTACATGCCTGTAATGATACAATAATGATATTAATTTTTGATCAGTTAGAGAACCATGGAAAATTAATCTGGCTTCAGGACAAAGTTGATTGGAGTTCTCTAGTAAGAAGTCGTGACCAATGGGGTCCATCCGCTCTGAAGTGAGGAGAAATACTCCCTGCGGATGACACTGGCTGGGGCCAGTCGAGCTGAAATCACGAATTGTTAGAAGTTGGAATTCATGAACTGGTCACTGGATCAGGTCCCAGTGCTTAAATAGTCTTCACTCTGCAACCAAAAGGCCCGGGTTCGAACCACGTTAGTGTGTGGGTGAGCGCACTGCTGTGGAAGAGTCCCAAACTAGGCTGACAAAACAGCTGTCCAGTATCTTTTATTCCTTTACGTTCCCAGTGGAGCATAGGGCTTCAAACTTGAAGTTTCAGTAGCTGTGGTGTCTATTTTTACGGGATGGGGTTGCTAGCCTCATGCCCAACCTTTCCTCTTTACCAGTCTTATTACTGGCTTAGAGAGGTAAAGGAATGCGTCGGTCGGGGATCGAACCCCGGACCACTTGCGCAGTTGGCGAGCACTCTACCGCTGTACGACCGACGCAAACCCAGTACTGGTTTTCAATGGTTCTCTAAGTAATATCAATCGGTGATCAAAACTTGAAACAAATCAAATCCTTAGAGAGAAACTCTTGAAAATAATTAGATTAATTTCAATTTGGATTTTTTCACACACCAACATGAGTTAGAGGGGAGTCGAAAAATCAAGAGGCGTTAAGTAGCTGTTTTGTCCTGGTCTGCAACTCTTCAGCAGTAAGTGCCGACTCTATGACTTTAAGATTCCCAGACCAGTCTGTTGACAACCATTCACACCCACTGAGGTTGGATGAAATTCTATGACTCGTAAACTTTAACTTTTATCAATTGGCATGATGTATAATTGGCTACCGCTAACCATTGTGGCATCGATGAATGTTAGCTTCACTCTGAAATAGTGGAATCTACCTACCGGCCATGAATTTACATTAAAACTTAAGGAAATATTATCTATCTTATAGTCGCCTTAATAAGTTAGAGATATGTATTCAGATTTTGAGTAGTTTCGATGTAGATGTCGATCAATCAAGTTTGGGCGTTATGAATGTCCTGTCACAATAACATCTTCCAAAAGATGTGGTGATTATCCATCACAACATACACGACAGAAGGATGCAGTTAAATCACAAATCGACTTACTTCTACTTAAAGGTTTATAACGAGTTGAAATCAGTTAGAGAACCATTGGAAAACCAGAAGTGGAGTACTAGACGGGCTGTTTCTATCGTCCTATAGTTCTGGACGCTTCACAACAGTACGTACTCGCCGACGGGTTTCGAACCAGGGCTTTTTGGTTACAAGGCGAGCTCGTAGACCATTCAGTAGACACTAGGACACGATCCAACAGTACATAAATTCCAAAAGTTTTTAATTAATTACTAATGATGAACACTACAGTGTTGTTCAATGAATGGACGTTTCATCATCAACAAGAACATCATAGTCAGCTACAGGTATCTAATACCACTGTGACTGTGTTCTCTATTTACCTCTGCACTACACTATAATCCTTTCTATATCGATATGATATGATCAGTAGGCTAAGAAAAGGTAAGGAAGCGAAAATTTAATTGATGGCAGGTAGCAGCAGAATCTTGATTTCGTCCCACTAATTTGGACTCGTCAGCTGGATGTAGCTGCATTTCCCCCCACAGGGGGTGGTGGTGTCTCCTCCCAGATACCACCAGGTCTTAATTTCACTACCGATCAACCAACATCAATAAAATAACAACCTTCAGTCATCATTGGAGTGACCGACCAACCGACCATTCCAGTGTAATATGAATCATCAATCAACGGGTAAATACAAAATAATAATCAAAAATGAAAGTAACCACTTCAGTCTTTGTGTCGTTGTGTGTAGGTGTATTTCTATTTATCTACGAGATAGTAAAACTACCTGGACTCCAAGTCACCTGTAGATTGAGTCTGTCCAAGACTGGATTGAGTCACCTGTTCAACAGAAGGTAACCAATCTCTACATAAGAAAAGTTACACTTTCTCTGATTGTACTTAGTTTAAGGGATTCTCGTCAAAATAATCTTTAGTACTATGTTCATTCAACGTAATCATAAGGTATCTTGTATCAATGATGGTTAAAAGTATTGATTTCTTAGCCCATGAGTTTTAATTACACAAAAGACAAAACACATTTGAACTGATGGTAATCGGGATGATTTATGCGTCAATATACCTACAGGGATAGCTTAAACTTCCTGTCATCAGTCCATAATAGCATAGAATACCTGATATGTAGACAGATAAACAATAGATTATCCTTTATTGGTGATATAGTGACAGACGTCCGATGCCTAGAAATTAACCAATCAGAATGATTATTATATCAGTGTTCCTTTGGGTTCCGAGCGGAACATAGGGGATTAGCAAAACATCTCCACTTTGTTCTCTTTGCGTCACAAATAGACTTTTATGGGCTCACGTCACTGTATACCTGCTTAAGTAGAGTGAGGACACTTATATAAAACTAATTAATGTTGAAGCCTTGGTAAAAAATAAAAATTATCCGGATTTTTTCTACTTCTCAATGCTAAAAATTAATCAATTAAACAAAAATGCACAAAAGAAGAAATATCAATCAAATAAATAAATATCTATTTCTTCTTCTCCTTCTAATATTACCTCTTGTTCAGAGATTTCAAGAGCTTTCATATTATTACCGACAACACGTAATTCCTCTTCAAGTTCTACTATTTTGCTTGAATCGATGAATGAAAGAATTAGAAATGATAATAAGAGTTAGCACCTTTTGTTTGTGTATGCATGTGTGTATGAGCATTCCGAGGGTGGGGGTTGGGGGCGTTGCTTAAACAATCCAGACAGTAGTCAAAAACCATTCTCATCAAGCATTTCATGCAAGCAAACTCTGACTCTCAAACAAAATGCTAAAGAAAAGATATTACTAACTAAGGTCAATTCAGTTGTGGGAGGGAGGTGTATATGGAAGTTGATTCGCCAAGCAAACAACCGCAATAAAATATATTTTTAGAAGAAAAAAAGACACAACTTCAGCAAACAAAAAATACTCAGAATACACATGAGTAGTAGTCACACACAAACATAACACACACACACACACATATTGCCTATAAAGTAAACAAATAAGAAAAGGAAAAATTTGAGGAAGCGTAAATGAACTACAAAAGTTTAGAAAATTTATATCAAACCAAAAGGTCACAGAAATGAAACAGAAGAGTACACAACACCTGAAAGTTTTGACTACTTAAAAATGCACATCTCAGTCATGTGGTCCTAGTTAATGCCTTCACGTAGCAGCGGGTGTTCCTCACAAAAGTGAAAGGGTGAATTCGAACGTCTAGCTGGAGCTCACAACTGGACTTGGTAGGCGTGCAAGTTTCTACCTAGAGGAGCTGGGAAACAGCTGATGCCAAACCTTGGTGGTGTATACGCAGGCTCCAGAAGCCGAAAAGGCGTATGAACCTGTTTTTTTTGTTTGGTCATCGACGCTGCTCTACTGCCTTGTGGAATCAGACTACTTCTAGTCAAATACCCGGGGTGATGATTTTCAATGATAATTATTGTTTTATTTTTACCAATTGTAACTGGATTTAAAAATTGTAAACAACTGAAGAGAGTCTCAACATAATTTCTGTGAGATAAGTTGTTCATTGATCTAAGGGCCAACCTTATCATGAGCTTTAACCTATAAATGAAAAACCAATCACGTCTCATCCATTGATTTTAACCATCTATTTAGCTTTTATCAAACTATGATTAAGAGCAGATAATTAGACGAAATAATTTTCTAACAGTTGCCCATAAAACATTTTTAAAAACTCTACGAATTGACCAATAGTGACTTCCTTCTCATGACTAATTGCTGTTAGCGCAAGGGCTGGGATACTTGAACAGGTGCCCAGACCGAAGCAGGTGGTTGTCTTAAGGGACCACTCCAACCACCGTCCCGAGCCTTCGACTTGAAGTCACATCATCCACACGGCAGCAGAGCAGCGTCAGAAACTGGCTATGCTCCCATGGTTGCTAGTGACCAATACAGGTTTATGCACAGCCATTAGATCCCTTTGGATTCTGGAACCCATGTACCCACCCACCTATAGTAACTGCTTTTAGTCAAGCCGCAGGAACATAAGTTCCAGCCAGTGTAGCTTATTGGGACACTGAGCTGTACAAGCCCGACCATCACATCCAAGGGTAGCAGTTATCATCAACTAGTGACTTCAGTACATACTATGTCTAGAACATAGGGATATTCACCAAGGGAAATTCAATATTTACAATGGACAGTAGTTACATGACTCGAAATAATGAAAACCAACATAGAAATACTAAAAAACAACAACAACAAATACCTGTTCTTTTCTAATCTCCATAGATTTCCATTTAGCTGCTAAATCTTTCAAGGTATTCTCAAGTTCAGCAACAAGTCTAGAAAAGAAAAACAGAAGTGGTGACACATTAGAGTATTTACCTTTTTATGCAAAAATTAACTGGAAAAGTAGCGGAATTATCAGACGACAGAAATAGTCCTAAATTATGGGGTACCGATTTTAACAATTTTTATAACCAAATACATCAGCTGACAAACCTCGTCTAGATTACTAGGTCACTAGTATTCTAGCCGGTCCCAAGCCCGGATAAAGAGGGAGGGTTGGGGCGTGGTGCTAGCAACTCCACCCCCAAAACTTAACCAAATTGCTACTAAAACTTCAACGCACAAATATATTCAAAATTCTAAAATTACAAATAGTGACCTTATTTTTCGCTGGAATCGGGGAAGTGAAATGACGCGGGCTGGTGAAAGCCTTCGGGAAGCCAGTCAGCCGATGTGCCTTCTTTCGATGAAAGCGAAAATAAGGATGGGGACGTGGAATGTTCGTACAATGTACGAAGCTGGGAAGGCTGCTCAGGTAGCCGCAGAAATGAGGAGGTATAAAATAGAAGTGTTGGGAATCTGCGAGAGCAGATGGAACGGATGTGGAAGGAGCCAACTATCAACTGGAGAGACAATAATCTACTCCGGTCACCCAGAGGACAATCACGAGCACACCGAGGGAGTAGCCATCATGATGTCACCAACAGCGGCTAAAGCTCTCATGCAGTGGGAACCAATCTCCTCCAGGATAATGACAGCCAGGTTCAACTCAAAAGGAAAAAAGGTTACAATCATTCAGTGCTACGCGCCTACAAACGCCTCAGAACATGAGAAGAAGGAGGATTTCTACAGTCAACTACAAACAGTAATGGACAACGTCCCAAAGAGCGATATCAAAATCCTGATGGGCGACATGAATGCGAAACTGGGAGGAGACAATACAGGAAGAGAACTCACCATGGGTCGTGAGGCCCTCGGTGAAATGAACGAAAATGGTGAACTCTTCTCAGACTTCTGCGCCTTCAATGATTTGGTGATTGGTGGCAGTGTGTTCAAACACAGGGATATACACAAGGCAACATGGATTTCACCAGATGGACACACCAAAAACCAGATAGACTTCATTTCAATCTCAAGGAAGTGGAGACGGAGCCTACTGGACACAAGATCGAGGAGGGGAGCAGATGTGGGTTCAGACCACTATCTAGTACAAGGGACATTCAAGGTGAAGCTGAAAGCCTCGAGGATAGCTGGGGATAGGCCACAATGCAAGTTCAACACGCAAAAACTGAAAGACACAACCACAAAGGACACTTTCACTGCAACTGTCAGAGCAAAGCAGGAAACACTACGTGGCACCACCGAGGAATCATCCGTGGAAGACCATTGGAACTCTCTGAAGGTAATTTTCAACGAAACGTGCTCAACGGTTTTAGGAAGAAAGAAGAAACAAGACAAGGAATGGCTCTCAACAGACACTTGGAAACTAATAGAGGAGAGGAGAAAGGTGAAAGAAAAAATGATTCAATGCAAAGATGGACAAGAGAAAGAGACGCTGAACTCAACTTACACAGCACTGGACAAAGAAGTGAAGAAGAGTGCCAGGAAGGACAAAAGACAATTCTACGACAACCTGGCTACTGAAGCTGAGAAGGCAGCAGGCAAAAGGGACCTGAGGACACTATATCAGATAACCAAGTCTCTATCCGGGAAGAGATCAACACAAGTGAAACCTATAAAAGACAGCCAAGGGAACCCAATTACCAAAGAAGAAAGACAGATTAAACAATGGGCGGACCACTTCAAAGGACTCTTGAATCGACCACCACCTACAACCCGTCCAGTAATACCAACAACAGCACGTACACAACTGCAAGTTGACACCAATCCTCCAACGAAAACTGAAGTCATGAATGCAATCAAGCTTCTGAAAGCTGGAAAAGCAGCTGGACCAGATGGAATACCCCCGGAAGCACTGAAAGCGGACCCAGAAACGACGGCAGATATGCTGACTCCATTATTGCAAAAGATCTGGAAGGAGGGAAAGGTGCCTACTGACTGGAGGAAAGGTTACCTGGTGAAACTACCAAAGAAGGGCGACCTAGGACTCTGCAAGAACTGGCGAGGAATCATGCTCCTGTCGACGCCAAGTAAAATCCTGAGTCGCATCATCCTGGAGAGAATAAAGGACGCACTGGATACAGAACTCCGACCAGAACAAGCTGGATTCAGGAAAGGCAAATCATGTTCTGACCAAATTGCAACTCTACGCATTATCATCGAACAAAGCATGGAATGGCAATCAAATCTCTACCTCAACTTTATAGACTTTGAGAAGGCCTTCGACAGCGTTGACCGCGAAGTAATTTGGAAACTACTCGAGTACTACGGCGTACCCCAAATATTCATCAACCTTATTCAACAACTGTACGACAACGGCACATGTCAAGTGATCCACAACGGAAAACTCAGCGAGGCGTTTCGAGTAAACACAGGAGTCAGACAAGGGTGCTTATTATCACCAATGATATTCCTAATTGTGGTGGACTGGATTATGCGTCAGACAGTGGGAAACGAGAAGACAGGGATATCCTGGACCGACGTGAAGAACCTAGAAGACCTGGATTTCGCGGATGATTTATGTTTGATGTCACACAAAATCGAAGACTTACAAGCGAAAACCGACAAACTGGTCGAAGAAGCAGCAAAGACAGGACTCCAGGTGAACATAGACAAGAAGGAGGTTATGAAAATAACCAACCAACAACAACAGCAGCAACATCCAGCGCCAATCACCATCAACGGGAAGGATTTGAAAGAGGTTACTTCATTCACTTATCTAGGGAGCATTGTCTCAACCACAGGAGGAACGGACGAGGATGTCAAATCGAGAATCGGGAAGGCGAGAAACACATTCATCAATCTGAAACCAATCTGGAAATCTTCGTCACTCACCATCAACAACAAAATTCGGATTTTCAATACAAACGTGAAGTCAATTTTGCTTTACGGATCAGAAACTTGGCGGGTCACCAAGAATATTTTCAACAGGTTGCAGACCTTTATCAACAACTGTCTTCGCTCCATACTGAAGATTAGATGGCCGGAAAGAATCACAAACAAGAAGCTATGGGAACAAACGAAACAGGAACCAATCGCCCAACAAATATGCAGGAGAAAGTGGAGATGGATTGGACACTCGCTGAGGAGGCCGTTGAGTGACATCGCGCGTCAGGCCCTCGAGTGGAACCCGAAAGGGAAGCGGCGAGTGGGACGTCCAAGGGTGACATGGAGGAGATCGTGTGAGGAGGAGATGAAACAGTATGGAATAACATGGACGCAAGTGAAAAGAACAGCACAAGACAGAAGCAAGTGGAGACGTGCAGTTGAAGCCCTATGTTCCACTAGGAACCCAAGGGAACAATAATAATAATAATAATACACCAGCTGACAAATCATAAAGAGTGAATGCATCAACCCATCCCCATTGAGAACGATTCTCAGCCATATCAATAATTATCTCCAGCTTTCATTGGTTCTTACCATTCCGAGGACTACAACCAGCCAACAAGTCTACAACTCCCTCCATCAATAGCTTAAACTAACTGTAATGGATTTGATTGACTAATGAAGCCATGTTTCTGTTTGACCAACACTACCTGGCTCTTTTCCAACGTCATCCATCTTATGTCAGTCAGCTTACATTTCCCTTCGGGGAAGGAGATGACTAGGCATAAATGCGTAACACATGTGTATTAACCATCTCAATCGATGTAACTTCACAACCTTATTAACTGACTCTCCCACCTCACCTAACACGTGAGACAGAACGCAGACAACTACAATCAAAGACAGCTGCTCGGTCTTTTCATGTCTTCCACTTTCAATGGCCATGGCTCACCGTAGCCATAAACGAGGACGCAGTAAACTGGTGAGTAGTACACATGTGCTTTGATTGATAACCAGTCGGATATCACGTCTACTAAGTCAGAGATAGCGTAATTTGGCAAATACCAAACGAGCCTTCTGTATCCGTGGTGAAACTTCGTCAGCGATCAGTCTGTGAGTTGGAGCTGATGCAACTTCCCAAATGAGTGAAGTGGTGGTCAACACGCTTTACCATCACTCCACTCCTGCCTATCTTTGAGCTAGGAGTGAGTCAATGTAGTCTAGTCCTGTAGCCTCATCATCTTACATTTGACAGGAGCAAATCGCATGCTAATCATTTGAAGATTGCTGATCAAGGTGTTCATCAGAAGACTCTGCTCTATTATATCAGTGCATCTTCAGGTAGGAGGGAGGACTATATCATCCACATATTCTAAGTCAACGAGATTATTCCCTGGTGGTAACAAGTCAATCCCTAAGTCGCAGGAGTCAATTAGACTTAATTTCATTAATAAATCTATGATAAAATTAAACACAAAAAGGGGACAGTGGGGTGTCAGAGATGATGAACATGTAAATAGGAAACTGAAACATACACTTACCCTTCAGATTTTGCCATACGTGCTTCAGCTTCGACTAAATTCCTCTCCGTCACTGCTAGTGTACAAGAAATCTTGACAAGTTGCACCATTCACAAGCAATGGTATGCACATATATGTAGTATATATAGATGTGCAGCAAAATAACAAAGACGGGATTTTTCATAGACGAAAAGGGAAGCATGCAGTTAAAAAGAAATAGAATAAATTGAAATTATTTTTTATTTTAAATATTTCTTTAATGGTTGCTTTTTTACAGCCCATGACAGATAATCTTTTGATTTTGCTAATATTTCGAGCAAAAATTTATTTGCCCATGATCACACGGGAAGTAATCTGGCTCAAAATAGTGACATAAATCATAGAACGCTCTCCACAGGCGGATACGAGAACATATTCCAACAGTATGGTTTTATAAGGGAGAAAGGAAGGGTGTGCAAAGCTCTATTTATTCTAGAACACTTGATCGACTCCTGTCACTCTACCTACCCCAACCATAATTTTAAGATCATCATCTATCGAATTCATGCTAACTTGCCAACCACGTTTCATCTTCGTTCTAAACTTCTAAAGACAGTGGAGGCTTTGGCTATTCATTCATGAATTCAAGCCAGACACCTTTGCACAATCCCTATTTCTGCCTAAGTCTATGTACCTTTCCCTTACTACTACGATTTTAATAATCATTAGTTGTATTCTCACTTCGAAGTGTTTCCACTTGTCATTCTAAATCAGAATCGTTTTTGAAAATTTCACACCATGTTATGTAACGTTTTATACTAGCCTACTAACCCTATACTTATACACACCCTTCCAACATCTGTACCATCCTACGAGTTATTCTATATATGATACTAGTTATTTTGCCACTTGACACTTCATATTTAACTATGATTATAATCACAAGTATTTTAATTGCATCTTATACTACTATTACTATTTTATGTATCCATACCTCCGCTTAAATTTCCTCACAGAATATAATTTCTTAATATAAAAAACCATATAACTAGGACTGTACAGATTGATAATAAATTCGTTGTTGAAAAGAGTCTCTTTGGTGAATATCGTTTTCTTAACATAAGTCAAAAAGGCCCAGTTCCAACTATCCATGTGATCATGGGGAAGTAATCTGCCTCAAGGCAACAAAATCAGTCTGTAAGTTAACCAACCAACCAATAGAAAAAAGGGTTAACAACAAAATTGATCCAATGCCAAAATGCATAAAATATTTTCAGACATTATATAAACGGGAGGAGTACTCAATCTAGGGTACAAGCCCACCACAACACCATGCAACATAGTGGACGATGCGTGTATGAGATGCATTCTTTGCAAGCGGTGTAATGATGGTATGAGGTACACCTCTCTACCTTTCTGCTGCCTCAAGACGTGCTTCAGCCCTTTCGAAATCAACCTCGGCGATAGCTAATTTACGTGCAGCCTAGATTTGAAGAGAAGAAAAGAAAAAAACAAAGGAAAGTATATAAAATCCATTATGACATATCTTCTTTTATGAAGGTATTTCTTGAGGGTATAATAAATTTAGATAAGAACCATGAAATCTAGGTATATAAACTGCCGAAGTGATTGGCGTTCGTCATTAGCAATTAATCAGTCAATAAGCGTGATTAGATTAGTTCTATAATGAGCTAACCAGTGTGTCAGAAGGTTAACAGTTTTTCCTTATCGGTGGACTCAGAGGAGTTACACGACAGTAGAATTGTGTAACTTTAAGCCAAATTGGAATTATATTGACAATTTCCTTTCTTTTTGTTCTGAAAAACAGACCACTAAGTTTTAACGTTTGGTTAGAACTTGAAACTATCAGTCTCTGCATAACATGATGCTGACGTTTGCTGATATCAGCGATCGTATATATTAAAGCGGGGAGAACATTGAAACAAGCTCCATCACCATCATCATCACCAATTTCAGAAGCATCAGGCTCGAATGGATAATGAAGGATATTCAAAACCACTACAATGTTAAAAAATTGGGGGAATTTCAGGCACAGCAACCAAAACTATACACAGGCACCAGTGCCCTCCCCCCCCACCCCAGTTTAATGACTTTGAAGCAATCGGTCGCATCACTAGTCATGAATACTGTAGGTCTATTCGGTTCAGTTTGCGCATGATATGGTTCTCTACTTTGGATTATTTATTATGACTAACTAGAAACCCCTTTCTACAGCACATGAGGAAGAACATAAGCTGTCTACATATTTTGGAAAGCAGTTTATTGCTAAAAAATATATCAGCTTTTCAGGTTTCTTTAATTTGACTACTCGTTCAAAGACATTGATAAGGTTCTTGGTGTTGACCGCCATAGTCTGACTTCACCAAGAATAACTGACTAAATTTCACATGATGGTAAATTATGGCAACGTTAAACTATCATAGCCAAAACCACAGTGACCTTGAACAAACGATCAAAATTCAGGTGCAAAAAAAGTCGTGTAATCATTGAAAAGTTGCACTCGAAAACATTGTAAACATGATATTACACTATTAGGTGTCGCTTATGTGTTGTAAGAATGACTGCCTTCAAATCACTACACAGAAGATCCACAGAGAAATCATACCACAAGCGATAAATGTATTCATTCAGATGACTGTATGTCATGGTACGTTGAGATCCATTGATGTTTCTGACACTGTTCTTTAACCTGCTCCTAACTCGAATCATAATCCTAAGTTAAACTCTAATCCTAAGCTTAACCCTAGACCGTAAACTTAATATTAAAAACGATAACCCTACCAAACAGTATAGATTAACATAAAAAGTACCAAGAGAATAAGTAGAATGTTGTATCTACGGTCGGCAAATCTAAAAAGGCAGGCATGACGTGATTTCTAATGATCTTTTATAGCGTTCCCTAAATCGGATTGGTTCTCGGAAGTCAATCTTTGGCAGTCCTTGACTTTGGGTGTGATACTTTAACTTCGCACCTAAATAATATATATCCTAATTACTGAAGGGTAGTTTACGAATAAGTAGCTTTCCCGCAAAAATTTGTTGATAACCACTATCTGGAATTTTAGCAGCGAGTGGGACGCCCAAGGGTGACACGGAGGAGATCGTGTGAAGAAGAGTTGAAACAGTATGGGCTAATATGGATGCAAGTGAAATGTACAGCAGAAGACAGAAGCAAGTGGAGGCGTGCAGTTGAAGCCTTATGTTCCACTAGGAACCCAAGGGAACAATAATAATAGTTCAGTTATGTCGAAGGCGAGAATAACACATTGATCGACCTATTTTCAATCTTAGTACAAAAAAGAGAGCAGCTGTATTACACGGGAGTGAAAAGTGGAAGGCAATAGGTATGTTTCCTAGCATGATGAATTTGTCATACGAGGAAAGGCTAAACAGTTTAAATCTTTTCTCCCTGTCATACTGTAGGCAGGATGAGATATCTGATTACAAAGTGTATAATTTTAGACTAGAAGTATGACCTTTTTTTTCTTCCCACCAGGTGGTCAGAACACCTTAGAGGATACAGCAGGAGAGTTCATACCGAGTCATCAACTCCTGGAACTGAATCTCAGAAGAAGTGATGTCAGCACTCTCAATTGACTCATCCAAGAAGGGGCCAGACGAGCACAGAAATTTACTAGAAAAGGATTAACATAGGTTACAAACCTTCTATCTTTAATCAGCAAATCTGAATCTGACTAGTGCCCAAAACGATATGATATGATATGATTATGAGCAATGGTTTGTGCTCGAAACGTTATCAGTTAATGTAGCTGTACAACACTGTGTGATTTACCAAGATAAAATCGTATCCATAATGGAGTTATACTCTACCACAGTGCCCAAGTTTTATACTTATATCAATAAAACGAAGTTAGTTCATTACAACAAATTGAAGTGTGCTCATAAAAATTTAACGAAGGCTCATATTATCACACGAATAAGATCAGTGACTTACTTCATCATATTTACGGTCTGCATCTTCTGCGATATACTTGGCTTCCTTCTGTTGGTCTTCTAATTGACTAAGACGTTCGTCATCAGCAATAGAACGGATCTCAAGATCTTTCCGTCCACTATGTGCATTTTACGAGAAAAATAAAACACCAAGTAATTCACAAATTATTAAAGATTCAAAATGTCAGAGTAAGGAAATAATGAGTTTACCTCCTTATACTTTTTATCAGTTTCCTTAGCAGCCTCTGCTGCATCTTCAGCAGCCTTTTTTAGCTGCTCCACCTTTTTATCGTATGTGTCCATCTTGTTTTGCACTTGCCTCCACATGCTGCGTGCAAACATGCAAGAAATTTTATTAAAACTCATTCATATGTGTAATATTCGAGTAGCGAAACCACTCGGTTAGAAAAAACTTACCGTTCACTTTCTTCAGCAGTTTTGCTGGCTTCTTCCAATTTAGCCAGAGTTTCAGTAAGTCGGCTTGACGAAACCTCCAAATCTTCTTCCAGCAAACGAATTCTTCGTGTCATTGCAGCAACTTCAGCTTCAGCCTAGAGTGCATGAAGAAAGCATAATCATAGAGTAGGTTGTACACACTTTTTCACGCAAAGCTGTCTCCTGTCTTAATGTCTCATCCTCTGTGATAACATCAAACTGAAGCTTTTCTAGCTCTGTCTGCAATTCTTGAATTTTTTTCTTGACAACATTAGCAACATTTGAACCACCAGTCATTTTCCAACAAAAAGCAACGCAAGTCTAGATTGTACCGCGCAATACAACCTTGACAATCCAATATCCAATATCCTGATTGCGAGCTAGTATAAACCAGTGATTTCTTTGAGCTCGCTTCTTGATTGTAAGGTAGAGGTTCCAGATCTCCGGTGAACTTATGCGTAGTAAATCCCGCCACTCGACTGCTTTAGCTCTGGTAGACTCCAAGAGGAGTGGTGCGAGGATTGGTCAAGATTGTGGTTTGTAGTGCGCAGTATGTTAGGACTCAGCTGCTGCCGTGAATGGAGTTTGACCTAACACCCGTTGGTCATTCGGTATAGTCATAAAAGTAGAATAGTAATAATAATAATAGGTTGTAGTGTAGATAATATAGGTTGAGATAAGTGAAATAATAAAGGTGAAATAATAAAGAAAGAAAGAAAAGATAGAGTAGTAGGTACAGTGGGAGAAGACAGGACGGGTCGTGGGGATTTGGCTTGTATGCTTATCCATTGACAATGTGGTTTCAAATTTTAAGAGGATAAGCCATTGAGACACAAACCATGCATTTCTGCATGATTGTCCAGCTTCCACTTGAAAGTCTCCACAGATGGAGCTGTATTTACGGCCGCCGGTAAAGCGTTCCAGAGACAGCAAACTCGAAGCGAGAAGAAATGTGAACGCACTCGAGTCCTTGGTCTCTGGTGTGCTATCCTTAGCGGGTTACCTCGTGGAAGGATTCAATGTCAGCGGATAAATTTCGAGAGAGCCGTTTTCTCATAGTTATGGATGCGAAGAGACAATTTTGAAAGCTAGCAATATTCAACACCAAAACGACTGCTTTTGTCATGTAATAAGCGCAGTCCTTGCCAGTAAACTCATCAAATTAAGATTTTCTGTATGACAACTGATCTGGCTCCTAACGAAATTGTGTTATTGTTTAGTGTATTCACATAAAATCCTGGCTTCATTAAACATCACATCACGAACCCTGGATGGTTAAATAACATCCAATGAACCTGTGACATGCTGTATTGTGTGCAGCGCTACCATCTTGGTATGTGAGCACCATGCCATATCGAAGAGGGCAATCACTACATTTTGCTTACTTTGATATATAAATTACTCTGCATACGCACAAAATTAAGCTTTAATTTGACAAACATCATGTGTTTAACTTTGGAAAGAAGAGAGGTACTTTAGTCTCTGCGTGCTAATATTGTCTTAATGAACCTTTTAATCAGAAGTTCCCCAGTCGGTTTTATGTTCACGCTGTCACTAAGTCGAATTATTGTCCACATTCAACCTGGCTATCTGCTTCTGGTCTGGTTTATATGTTTGTTCTAAACCCATTATGAATCACAATCCCTATGCAATCATTTTATGTGGGTTCACCTGGCCTCCATTTGAATATATTGCCAAATTAAAGGTTACCACATTTAGGGGTAAGCAGTTATCTAGATTTAGTGGTCGACAGCTTTCTAAACAGTAGGCAACATTACTGAGCCCCAATTACTCGCCACTCTCATGACAAACAGCAGCTGGAAAAATAAAGATTGCAAGCCGGTTAGTCGTCCGAAATCAAACACATACTTACAGTTACCTTCGCACAACCGAAAAAACGAAAATTGATCAGCTAAGGGTAGCAAACTTACTATCTGTTGCAATACGATAGTGTGTGCGCAGACACATATCTGCACCTAAGTGTACTGAAACGGTGAAGATCACCACCTAACGCCGTGAATCAATGCGGCGGTTCAGGATAATCTAATTTAGATCACGTCACAAGATAAAATAGTGGTATGACAGGCAAAATTGCATTTTAAGCGTATAATATCAGTGGTTATAATTGCATTCAGCTGACTCTGGTGAAGATCCCTCGCTGTACATAAATTATCCCATTCACCTCGAAATAATAAGTTTTGCAGTTAGAGGCGACAAAAACAACCCTTAATATGGCCGTGAAAACTTCATGGTCAGTGTATTCAACACCTCAGTATTAAGTGTCAGTCGAAGTGATGAGTATGCAGTGTCTGTAGTATTGTTCAAATGGGATAGGATATCAGAGTAGCGCTTTTGGTTTTTTCAGTTAAAACGACTATGGCAAAAGACGTCAGTTGACTTAATGAACCCAAACAAGCATGGATGTTAACATGTCAACCAATGACAGGAATGGTTCTAACAAAGATCGAAAAATACGTCAGTGTATACAACTTTACCTAAAGATACTGTGGGAGTGAATGCATGCTGAGTAGACCGTCTAATGACATAACGTGCCAGTCCACTGCTAGAGTAGAACCTGGTCGGAAAACGACGATTGGGACCGTTTTATTTCTCGTAGTTTCATTTTAAGTCATTTAACTCTCCAGTAAAACTCCAGTGCGAGCCGAACTGAGAAAAATTCAATTTCATCCTAGATTCGTTTACTTGATACAACGCAGGAGATAGTATTAATAAATGGACAGCATTTTGAACACAATTTACTGCTCATAGTCAAGTGATTGTATGTACACGACTTTCTGGTTTGCTTTATGTAGTTTTACTCCCTTATGTTTCTTAATGCGGTTTTAGACATCTAAGGGAAAAGTTTTGCGTCAATACTGTTTCATTTATTCTTTGTTAACTTGATAGACAAAGACTCGATGGCTAGCGACTGTCAAATACATAGAATATTGACTCAGATAGGAGGAGGATGTAAAACGGTATTTAAAAGTTGAACTAAAAATGTCACCTAGCTAAGAGTGCTACGCGTATTATATCACATAAGCTTATCTAATAGTGAAGTGCACTCTACCACGGTGGGAAAATGTAAAAACGTAGAATGCCAGGAAATTTATAGAAGCATGGTATTCAGATGAGTCACCGATTAAAAAACATATTACTACTTACCATCTAATAAAGATAAACCGCATGACAGAAAGGTCATATAAAATGATCACTACTGGTGCACATTAACAAACAATTGTGACAAATTTTATTAGGAGATAAAATCATGGCATCAATCGTGGAGAATTCAAATAAGTTCATTTCATATTAAAGCTTACACTAAAGATGTTGTGTAGAAGGGCGACGAAGGCTCCTCCATAAGACCACACAGCTCAGAAAACGAAACCAAATGAAAATTGCCCACCTAAGGTACATATCTCTGCTACTTTGATAGGAAAATTCTGCCTAAAGGCTGTTACGATAAAATACTCTAGTCACTGAAAATAAGGCAACTAAAACCATGTTTACTTTTCGTCACTTATTTTCTGCTATAGGCTGTTCGATGCAGACTTAAATCCATATACTTAATTTTCAGTTAAGCATTATGAAAAGTCAGTGTAATGCGTCACCCTTTCACTGGTATATACATAGTAGGAAGCTCTAGAAACACCTTCTACTGGCCTATCTAAAGTTTCACTAGTGGTGCATCACGAAGTCAGTTTAGTTCCAGGTATCCGTCTTTGCACACCACATAGATTCTTCTCACTTAGTATGCGATTGTTTTCATGAAGCTGAAGATGCTTTCCAAAATTATCACTAAATCGGAACATTCATTCTCTATTCCACCAGTGTTTTACTACACTGTAACTGAAGACCTGGGTACTGTGGTGTCCAAAACAAAGATTTTTGTTGCAATTTAGGGGTTTAGGGGATAAGGATGTGTTGACGTTCACGGATAATACGACGTGTACTAACGCAAGATTTTATGCCGGCGAAGTTCAACAATAGCGTCCCAGGAGTGCAAACGCTCCGGTGACTTTGAACGCATGCCAGTCGTTGGCTGACGGCACCTGCCATTATCATAGCTGAAATATCAACGCTATTCACCAGCTAAGCAGCAAATTTCCCTCAGACCTCGTTTCTAAGTACTGTTGCGACAACGTGTTAATAGCTCGTTAGGGTTAGGATTAGGGTTAAGGTAAGTATTGGGGTTAGGGTTAAGATCAGGGTCATAATTAGCATTAGGGTTAGAATTACGGTTAGGCTGAGGGTTTTAATTAGGGTGGAGCGAGTTTTATTGGCCGATGCTCTAGGAACTTGATTTTTCGCGCTCGAGAACATCTCCCACTATGGCTAAGTAAAGGCGTAGTAAAAGCCATCAACAATTCGATATTGGACCATCTGGTCCAAACCGGCCACAAAGCCAGCATTGAAGAATCCTTCTCTATCCCCTACCATGTACCAAATAAATTTCCAAAAATTTCGAGGTGCCACATGCTCCAAACAGCAGAGGCTATCACAATTCACGTGAAACAACTAGTACTTTGTGTGCAAAAGAAGCAAGTTCAGCCCCTATTACTGCCCTGGCCTTCAGTAGAGACTATGAATTCATGAATTTGTACTATTATCTTTCCTAATTTTTCTGACATTCACTTTATTGTTATGTTGATGCTATTGAACTGTAATTCACTGATAGTATTATTATTGATTTGATATCATTTAATCAACAGTAATGTTGCTCATAACACTAATTCATTCACTATAATGCATATATAACTGTGGGGCCTGATAATGAATTTATCGAAAAAAGTGTTCTTTGTTCAGCAACCATTCTTTTGAAAATTTTAATGGGCATTTTTATTCAGTTATCGGAAAAACACTATATACAGAAGACGGAAGGAAAGGGAAATTACTAAGGTAATATAAAAGTTTGCTACCTAAATAGATTTAGGCTAATTACTATCTCGTTTTTAAACAAAGATTCGGCTTCTTTAATCTGATTGCGCAACCTTCAGCAAAATATTATTTGCTCTAATAATGACGTTAAGAGATTATCAACCACTCATATCTTATAGATCATCTGCTGATTGAAACTGATCCTTCCATTATGGATAAGATTTTATTTTGATAAATCACACAGTGTTGTACAGTAATATTAACTGATGACGTTTCGAGCACAGACTATTGCTCATAATCATATCAAGTTACTCACACAACTTTTTTCCTTCATTGATATACATGTGTGGAATTGACTAGATATTGGAATAAAAATCAATATGAGATAATGTACATTCAGAAACAATAATAATATGAGTGTTATTAATCAATTACACTCAGATGGGATATAAGACGAGTGTTTTTGTAGTCAGAACAAGTAACTTGTTAGAATGTTGTGGTGTGCTTGAATATTTGTATTGATCAATAACACTCATATTATTATTTTTCTAATGTACATTATCTCATATTGATTTTTATTCCAATATCTAGTCAATTCCACACATGTATATCAATGAAGGAAAAAAGTTGTGTGAGTAACTTGATATGATTATGAGCAATAGTCTGTGCTCGAAACGTCATCAGTTAATATTACTGTACAACACTGTGTGATTCATCAAAATAAAATCTTATACACAATGGAGTTTTACTCTACCACAGTGCCCAAGTTTCATACTTATATCAGAAATTGATCCCTATTTGTTGTCACACTATGTTCATGTGGTTTTGTATGTATTTAACATTAAAAAGGAATTTTATCAATAAGAATGTTTGCAGAGGAGTATTCAGATGACGAGTCCTTCTACCGAAATTGATGAATTCACTAAATACTGCAGCGTTTCTTCTCTCACTTGTTGCTTGTTTTAAAAGCATGTTGGTTGAATCAAAGATCCTATTAACTCATGTCATTACATTTCTAAGTAACCAACTATGACGAAATGAGTGAAGAGATTTCAGTCAGTAAGAGCAAATCATGGAAATCAAGTCAGGTTAAATCGTTTTTAGAAGTAAAACACACTTTAAATATATCCTACCAGGTTCCTGATCACTTTGAAACTTCATATTGATCAAATATAACATATTAAGGATTAACAGAGCATGTTTTTTTATTTTATTCCAGAAGGAACAATTATTAAGATATGATATTGATATGGTTTTGTTCCCTGAGCTGGTTGATTTATAATTACGAAACTTTCGTTGTCTAGACAATATTGCTTCAGTGTAGGTCTTATAATGAAATGAACTTATTTTAGTTCTCCATGAATGATATTTATTTTGTATGTCTTGACAACCGCTGTTATGACAGGCTGTTAATGTGCGTTCCTGTTGATCATTTTTATTGACTTGGAATTTGAACTTCCTTGTCATGTGGTTTATTCTTTATTAGTTGTTAAATTTTGGTCTCTGAGTACTAACTAGGTTTCTAGAAATTCCCTGAAAGTATTTTGGTATTTCCTTTGTTTAAAATTTCTACATTATCCCAATCAAATTGGTGCTCATAATCATCGACATGTATCAATATAAAAGAATACATATTGTGTCTTTTCATAGCTAATTTCTATTCTTGAATTCGCATTCTAAGGTGACGCCCATTTTGACGGATGTAATGTAGTCTAGATGTTATACAGAAAGACAATGAAAGCTTTTCAATTAAATAAACCAGCTTAGGTAACACAACTAAATCAAAAATGATACAATAATATGATGACATTATTTGATCCCACTTCAACTGTTGATTTTGGTTCGTTCAAATGCAGAAAGTTGGGTGAATTTGGTATTGTTATTTTGCCTGAATTAACTAACATGACTGTATTAATGTTATAAAACGCATAAAATGTCTTGTGTACTAAATTAGGTGGTTGTAAGCAAACCTTGGAACTACGTTTCGTACCTACTGGTACTCATCAGGAAAGGTGGGTGGGAATAACTTCTTTGTGGATTGTATTTTTGTGGCGTGTGCTTCTGACAAGATTTATAAGTAATATGTAATGAGACATTCATCGGCACAGAAACATCAAATATCGCGCACATAGATTTAACGTCAAAAAGAGTAAAAGAACCAGTATTGTGGCTAAACATGCCGGACACGAAAAGAACACAAAGAAACACAGTACAAAAACAGAAACAGCACCACACGGAAGATTTGTAGAAATGACGATTTTCAGATAAGGTGTACATAATTTCGTTATGTAGAGATACCAAATTCTAAACAAACATTCCGTTATTTAATTGAATTTTAGATTTTCCCGACGATTGATTGGACCGAAGTGTTCGGTCTCAGGTTGACATGTCGGCGTTTGGAACTATGGGCACTGGGTTCGAGCCTCGGTGGGAACATCATCACTCACTGAGAAATGCAGGTACATACAGCTGACGAGTCCCAAATAGGACGAAGTGCGCATCCTGGATTCCACTTCCAGTCACCACCCATCAAATAAACATTCCGTTACCAAGTGTCTTGGCTTCTGCACTTACATTTAGTGTCTCTGCCTCAAGAAAATGAAGATTCTATGCCCTGCTGCTTTTGAAGAAGTAAACATAAGAAGCTTCTTGCGGGACTTCGATGCTGTCGCTGAGTTGGTGGGTGTCGAGAACCCGATGTCTAGGAAAATTGTTCTAGGGACACTTTTGAAAGGTTGGACAAAGGCGGCATACAGCAATGTAGAGCGATCAGGTGATAAAGAGACCTGGAAGTTATCGGTTGAACGATTTGTGGCAGAGTTTGACGGCCCAAAGGACAGGAGGCTGGAAATGCAGCACTTCCGTGCCGTGAAGCTGGGACCTGACGGAGACCCGTTAGCCTTGACGAATCTACTACGTCGCGCACTCCCCATATTGCATGAAAAGTCAGAATTGCAGTTATTGACTTCCGAGTTCATTCAGAGTGTCCCAGACCACATTTCTCAGCAACTACAACTGGTTAACGCTGCACAACACATGGACATTGGTGAACTAGCGAAGGTGACCAGACAACTATTGAGCACAACAAATAGCCAAAAGAGAGCCGAATGAATGAGAACAGATAACTGGAGATTTGCAGCGTGAATTGGCGGCGCTACGAATGAGTGCAAGGGAAAACTAATGCTTTGAATGTAGCAAATCAGGACACTGGAGGAGGAGAAGGAAAAATTTCAAACAGTATGATGTGTGTTCTTTCTCTCCCACCAGACTGGAAGTAGTGGCGACTATCGAGAGGGGAGTGAATGACCAAGAAGTAGTATGCTTAATGGATAGAGGGGAGGCACTTTAACTAATAGATAAGAATTTATGTCACTAGCACACGTCACATTATGACACATGAAACGCCATAAAATTCATATAAAACTATCCAAAAAATATTAATGCATAGCAATAACATAAACAAGTTTTTGAATAGCAAAGCAAAACTTACATTTGTTGCACGTTTATCAGTCTCTTCTAGTTTATTCATTTGTTCTTGTAGTGTTTCTTGTATTCCATCACATTCAATTTGAGCTTGTTTCATTTTAGTGTTGAGTTCAGCAATTTCACTTTCCTTTTTTTCACGTTCTTCTTCTTTCTTTTTAAGTAGTTCTTCATATTGAACAGCTCTATGAAAGTACAGTGTACAAAATGCAACAAAACCGGGGTCGATGAATCAAATGTGGAGATGCGGGTGGTGGTGGTGGTGGTGACGGTGGTTGGGTGGATGAGCAGAGAAAGACGCAAAAACGTCAAGTATACCACTTGACTGAAGGTGAAATTTAGTCGGGAATGTAATTTTCCCAAGAGGAATTAACACAGAAAAGCTGTCTGGTGATCAGTAAGCATTTGGGTCGAATCTATGGCCGATGGACAGTTCAATAAAGATTATATCCTCCAGAGACTTAGCGTGTCATCAAAACCATTTCAGGCTTTTATCGACAGATCTCCGAGCTAGATGAGGGCAGAAAGGATTAGCCACAAGGAACTCTGGCAGGCACTGACCCACCAGGAGCCTATCGCTCAACAAATGCTCCAATGAAAGTGGTGATGGATAAGACACACACACATTTAGGAGACTATTGAGACACATCACGCGCCTGGCCGCCGCTCGAGTTGGGCGTTAGTCCGAAGGTGACATAATAATAGAAATAGTCACTTTGTTCTAAACAATAATAATTATACAGAATGGAATTTCAAGCGTTTTTATGCATATTGCAACAATTTAGCTCCTTTTATAAACATGTAGACACTTGAAATTAAAAATAATAATAAAACCACAAAAAACTGAAGGATAGTGGAATCATAATGAAGTGCAAATAGATAATATCATAGATAATGCATGTAATAATAATAATAATAATAGTAATAATCTTTGCTTATACGTTGCAGTTCAGTTTATAAGTTCTTTTCTGACATCTGAGTCTTCACACAAACACGCGTGCTAAAATGGTATGGTAGGATTTTTATATTTTGCTGTACAAGCATAAATTCTTATGAAGTTTCTTCTGGTTTTACCCGAAAAGATACAAGAAGGAAGTTGGGAATAAGTAGAGACGATGTTCGGTATCAGACATTATAATTTTAGCCAACTGCTTACAGGAATTAAAATACTCCTATCAACAACAATGTCAGTCAGTTGAGTCAAAGGCACAGATACACAAACACCACTAACCCTGATTACAGCCATCAATAGTCTAAGTAATATGATATACTCATGGAAAATTCCCATTGTAACATATAGAAAATCAAAACAAGTGATTCAGCGAAGAGACTCTTTTCAACGAATTTATCATCAAGCTGTACAATCGTATATATATATATATATATATATATATATATATATATATGGTTTATAAGAAGTTATATCCGGTGAGGGAATTGAATCATAGGTGTGAATGCATAAAATAATAATAATAAATAGTATGAAATGCAATTAAAACTAAAATGTTTGTGATTATAATCATAGTTAAATGTCAAGTGGCAAAGCAAATTAATGTCATATATAGAATAATTCATAGGATGGATAGAACTTGAAAAGGGTGTGCAATTATAGGATTAGTAGACAAATCGAAAAAATAAAAACGTTACGTAATATTGTGTGAAATTTGATTGTAAAAAAGAAGAATTGATTTAGAATGACAAGTGGAACAAGTGAAATAATACCTAGGACAATTCAAAGAGAGAATAGTAATAGTAACAATTGACGCTATAAAGGAAGAGAATACAAATTGAATAGACAAAATGAAAAAATTAAAAATTGGTAGAGCCAAAATATGATTAGGGATTACCATACTTTAGCATAGAGGGATTAAGACTATGAAAATTGGAGGGGTTGAACTAACTTTTTCTGTACACAGAAATCTGGCTTTTCTGTTTCGATAGCCAAAGCTTCAGTAATACAGATGAGTCCGGTACGTAGGGATTTGGGTAAATTACTCTTTGCCTTGTAGATGACTTTAAAGGCGGAGGCTATAGAGATAGGGTGATCATTATCGCCAGATGTTCAATGATCACGCTTTTTATCGCTCTACTGCCACCTCTTCGTAACCATGCAGGATAGTGTTCTTGCACCCTCTTGGACAAAACTCGAGTCAAACGGCTGATATACCTAGCTCCACACGAGCAGGTGAATTGATAAACACACATAGAGTTGGTTAACAGTGGGATCTTGTCCTTCAGGTTATTGAACAGCAATGGTCAACTAGTAGAGGCTATTCTCAGAGATGCAGCAGGGAATGTTCTTCTCAAGAACTTTGATATCGGAAGCTAAGTCCCCTAGCTACACAGGGAACAGAACAAAGTGGAGATGTACAGCTCCACTCAGCAAAATAGGGAATAATGATATAAAACTATTAATCCATTTCATAAACTTGGACAGTGTTATATTAGAAGACGGAGATTATCTGAAAAATGTGTACATTTCGAACAACAATCCGATCAGTCAAGTCAGTTTATATGAAAAATATGATGGGCCAATTAAAGTACACAAAGTGACAAAAAGGATTTAAGAATAAGAATAATAAGAATAATTAACACAATGTTTAGTTATCTAGTCAAACAAGGATTACCAAGACAGGTTAAGAGTAAAAACAAATTATTTTTGTACACACAGGGGAGTAAGGTGGCTTGAGTTTATGTATAACTATCGCCTCAATGTATTTCAATCAGCGTCCTTCATCATTTTTAAAAATAAACTTAAAAGCTACTTTGACATAAATCTTGTGGTTCATATCGATTAGATGTTTGTCTATGGACGAAGTTGGTAGTCTGACACCCACGTGTATCGCTTCTTCGGAGTTCATCAGTTTTTCCAACCATTTTGGAAATAATGCTCTCTCACCCTCACATGCAAAGGACGATTACTCCTGCCTGTGTATATGTTCCCCTCCCCCCCCCACATACACGCGAATTGGTGTGTAGTGTGTGATATGAAATATTCACTTGTGTACTTCTGAGGTTTGTAGTGGAACATACTTTTGATTTTTTCAGTAATCATAAGCCCGGCTGCGTAATAGGTTCTACGGATGACTGAGTTGAGTGTCTGCCTCAAAATCCTACTATTTACTTCCCCATTGTGTGACGATTTAATGAAACCATCTTTCGTAGGGACAGAATAGGTTACAGGTTTTAAAACTAACCGACTTCTACACCGGTTTAAAAGTGTTTTAAAGGATATCCGTTTTCAACAACGGTATTCATCAGCAGCTTATTTTCATCCTCTATAACATCATCAGCAGTAAAAATACGCTGAATTCTCTTTAATAAACACTTCACCATGTTTCTCTTATTATTGTAGTGGACCGAAGCTGTGAAAATTTAAATATAGCTCTGTCCAAGTAGGCTTTCTATAAATCGATCGCCTTATTGAACCATCTTCTCTCTGACTAAGAAATAAATCTTTTTGATCAGATTGTTCCAAATGTATATGGTGCAACTACGTCAAACTGTTCTGACTGACTGACTGGCTTTAACATAGAACCTTACACAGATGTGCACCAGTTCAACTTGCCAAACTCTCCTGTTGTAGCACACAAAGCAACAGAAGAGATTAAACAGAGATTCCTAAGAGTGATAATAAACACAGTTGTGGGTGAGAGAAAAAGAAAAGTAGTAATATGCCAGAACAATAGAGTTTCATTGGATGGATACGACAAATCACAATAAGTGAATGCATCTCCCCATCCTCATTGAAAACGAGGATTTTGAACTCTATCATCAATTGTCTGTCTCCAGCCATCATTGTTTCTTACCATCCCGAGGACACCAACCAGTCGGCCAGTCTACACCTCCCTACACCGCTGGTTGCCAGGCTGCTTTAAGTTAATTGTTATGGATTTGTATATGTGTAAAACTTGGGCACTCAAGTAGTAAGTAATTCCATATTAGTTTGTTTATTAGATATATCACACAGTGAAACAGTATTATTTACTAGATGACGTTTCGAACAAAATTTATTGTTCATAATCATATCAATTGTGATCACACGACTTTGACACTTGAGTTTTATAGTTTTCTTTGTCTTCTCCTATTTGTCGTATGGGTAGTAGAATTTTCCAGATATCGGGGACAGGTGATGAATCATTCCTATTACATGTATTTGTAGGTGATTCGATAAACAAAGCTTCTGTTATCGATCTCTCCCTCCCTCCACCCTGTGACATTAGATTTTAAAACTGTCATCCTATCCCATCCTATTGTATGGTTGTGTGTAACTGCATGTAGTGCTATAGCTGAACTATTTTCTAGATTTCTTATCTTATTCGGGTCAACCAATCTAGATTTTGCTAAGTTTTTATGTTCAGCTAGTCTGACTGCCCCTGTTCTACTAGTTTGACCTATGTATTTGACCTGACAATCATTCCGGCAGGGTATGAGATATACTAAATTGTTTTGTCTTAAAGGCTCTACAGGATCCTTTAACCGACAAAGCTTGTTTCTAATTGAGTTTGTTGGTTTGAATGCCATTTTTATTCCTGCCTTGTTAAGAGTTCTGCGTAAGGCTTCCGAGGTTCCTTCCTTGTATGGAATTACTACTGATGATTTAGATTCCTTACTATTGGTATAGTCATTAATATTATTATTATCACCATTATTATTATCATTATTATTGCTATCATCACTATCACTTCTATCATTATTTATTTTATTTTTACATTTCCTTACATATTTCTTGAATAATTTATCCGGGTAATTATTAAAATTGGAAGCTTCTTTTATGTGTATCAGTTCCTGTTTTAGATTTTCTTTGATACTACTTGGTTTTTGTGCTCTGTCATTTAAACATTTCACCAATCCTATTTTTACTGACATAGGATGGGACGATCGGAAGTCCAAATATCTGTTTGAGTGTGTGGGTTTCCTGTAAACACTAGTGTTTAACTTCCCATCTTCTTTCCTCTTTACGTTGCAATCTAACATTGGGAGCTCCCCCTCCTGATTTTCCAATTCATAAGTGAATTGAATTGCTTCAACCTTCGAGGTTATGTGTTCGAAAAACCTATCTATATCTTGTGTTTTAAGTACAGTGAATGTGTCATCTACATACCTCCACCATACTTTTGGGGTGGGGGTGAACGTTTCAATCGCTATGCTTCCCCACTTATCCATGAATATATCTGCTACATCTGGGGATATTGGTGATCCCATGGCAACTCCTTCAGTTTGTTTGTATATTTTCCCTTGAAATTTAAATACTGTGGAAGTCAGGCATAGCTGTACTCCCAGCATTATGTCCTCAAGTGGCACTTTTGTTCGATTTCTTGGTTATGGATTTGATTGACTGGTGAAGCCATCTCTTGGTTTGACCACCACTAGCCGGCTCTTTTCTAACCTGATCCATCCTATGTCAGTCAGTTCACCCTTCCAGTCGGGAAAGAAGATGACTAGGCTTAAATGCGTAACACATGTTCTTCTAAACATCTCACTCAACCAATGTTACTTCACAACCTCGTCTATTGATTTTCCCTCCTTATTTACCTAACACACCTCAATATTACTCACCCACCCTATCACACCTGCTACCTGGCATAGGATGTAGAGAGAACGCAGACACCTATGATCAAAGAAAGAAAGCTAGCTAGCTAGTCAGGCTTTTCATGTCTTCCACTTTCAATGGCCATATCTCACTCATAGTCTTAAAGGAGGACATCTTCTACTAACATTATCCAAAGATAATAATGGTAATAGCACTAGTAACAGTGGAAAATTCGAAGACATTGGACGATAATTATCAAAACAAACAAAAAAATAATTTAACATCTATTCAACGTACCTTTCCATAGCATTCTCTTTCTCCAACTTCATTGCAATCATTTTCTTTTTAATTCCATCCATCTTTTGAGTTTTCTTTTTAATAAAAGTTACGATCCAGAGAAGAACAACAACAAGAACAAAAGTTCACTTGAGAAAGATGAAGAAAGTTATTTAAAATTAGAAGGAAGATGTGTGTATATGCGAACCGGTTGATACTCGGTTGCTTATCTTGTTTTCACAATTGAAACAAATTTAAATGGAATTTATTTTGTAATCAATTGTATAACCACCACACAGAAACGATCTTGTGTATACGTGTGCCTACTCGCCTGCCTGCCTGTCTACCGATTAAGGCTTAGCACCCATATTGCCAACCAATCCAACTGAAACTTGGGAAGGAAGGAAATGGAATTTCGATCAATTTTGAAGGATATTTTTCACCTATCATTGACTACTACACATACATCATAAACTGATATGCTAGCGATCGAACAAATTGCCTATTTTTCCCTTTTTACAAAGGTGCTATTGTGCTAGTATTTTTATTATGCACCTTAGGATGATTTTGTTGACCTTGGGAAAATGTATTGGGATAATATATACACATTTATACACCCACTGAATATTTCAATCAATTTCTGTCTGTCCCTCTTGTTCGTATCTGTACGCATTTTACTGACGCCTTTGTACGATTGGGTAATTTAGATTTATCGAGTTTTCTAAGACAAATTCAATCAATTTTATTGTTGATAGATTCTGTGAAACATAGGAACTGCTGCTGTGGGAAGGGGGAGAGTGGAGAAGGGATAAAATCATTACTAATAATAGATTTTAATTGATTAAAGATGCCCATTTAAATTTTTAAAAGACTAATGAATGAATACTAAGAATCTTCTTTTGCAGTGAAGGCAATTTTCTTTTCGACGGGCACATCAACTAGATATCCAGATGAGCATTCGTATGTATTTATAGTAAATAATCGGTGAGAAAGTTGCAGAACTCTATGTCCCATACAGGGTTAAATTAATAAAATTACAAAGTGTAATAAACAGGAAGATTGGATAAAAGGCATAGTAGGATCACAATTGCTGAGAAAATTGACTTTTTCTGTGTAGTTAAGGTCTAAAGAGGTAGTTAGAACAAAATAGAAAGGAATTTCGGATAAAAAGCAAACATAGTAATGTAGGTATGGATGTATAATTACCTAAAAATAACAGAAATAAACAGAAAGATTGAATTAGAAAGGTAATAGGATAATCATTATTGATAGGGCTAACTTTTTATAATGGCCATTGTAAAGACAAAGGCTGAACAAATAGCATTGGCTTGAACTTTTGCCTTAATAGTGCCTCAGCTATACCCAGATGCCATTGATCTCACTCCATTTGAGAGAGAGGTTTGATCGGATATTATATTTACCTTTGAAGGATTTTTCAAATGGAGCTGTTACCGAACCATGTAGACATATTTGAGTTCTCTCTTTGCTATCCAACCAGGCTGGGAGTGTTCCTGAGCGCTTTTTACAAGCGGACGTATGGTATGACCAATGTACTCAGCTCCACAGTAAGGACAAAGTGAACCGGTGTATACATGTTGAAGTTGCCCAATGTAGGCGATGGCTTGTCTTTCACGTGCCGGATGAACAGTTTTTAGCGAAAAAAGTCACCCATACGCCAAGGAGGTGGGGGTAGAAGAAGTATATGTCGCCGATAGATTTCGAAAGCAGTCCGTCTACAGAGAAGTTCTGCTTCAGTATCACTTTTAAATTAAGAGAGATTAAATATCAGCATTTTTTGGGGGCGACTTAAACCTGTCCATCAGAAGTTTTCTTTGGTCTTAGATTCTTATGTATGAATCTGAGTGAGAAACCATTTTCTATCAAGGTGCCACAGAGATTTCGTAATTTTTTGTCAACTGATTCCTCAGTGCCTGTTTTCTGGGTAAGTGAGGAAAGGGAGAACAAGGTTTCTCTTTCTGCTTAGAGGAATACAATTTTGAATGCTAACAAACCTTCCACTCCGTGTGGGCATTATATGTATGTATATTGTATACCACAAGTTAACTGAAAACATTTGCCCTGGAAAGTTCACCACGCAACACATGGCCAAGAAAGTTGGTGATATACCAAGTGAAATATAAACCAACAATTTGAAAAATCGATTCAAACATCGTTCACTGCCGACTGCGGCTTATATTTTCCACATGACTGTTTATAATTATGAAAATGAAAGACGTATTATCCAGGCTAACCACCTCTTGTCATATTTATCAGTTCAACTTCCCCATTTGCAGCCAGTTATATTGGTCCCGTTGCTCTAATCTAGCACTGAAGACTCCTTTCCTATTATCTGTTAGCGACCAAATACACTACCAAAAGTCTGTAGACACCGAATACCCCGAACAGCAGACGCCACTGCGATTCGCCTAAAACAACAAAATAGGAGCACTGTGTGGAAAAGAAACTGGTCCAACCAGCCACTATTACTACCTTATTCTGCTATGAAACTTGTAAATTTTGTTAGTATCCTTAATTTACCTGATAAATACAGTTTAATGAAAACAAAACACGTAGTTCATCGAAGAGTCTCTTTTCGGCGAATTCATTTTCTTAGCTGTACAATCGCAAATAAATATGAGTCTCTTTGTATGCATGTGTACATTAAGTCTGTCAAACAAAAATACAATAGTTTATGGTTATTTTAACCAAATAGGTCAAAATAAATAAGTTTTGGGTGGAGTTACATAATAATATGAATAGTTTGTTGATTGAGTTGTACTCAGGATACACAAAGTAGAGAATACGAGATTACGTGAGAGTTCTAAATGGATGCAAGAATTATAAGCAATTAAAGAAACAGGCAAACAAACAAACTTAATTTATCAAAAATCAACAAAGATGTTACCATGATAATAGAAGTGGATGAGTAATTCTCTTTTGTATCCACAGCTCAGGTTTTTCTATGTGGATGGCCAGAGCTTCAGCGATACAAAGAAGATGAAACCGTATTGCCTTTTGTAGGTTATTCTTGATTCTGTAGATTACTTTGAAGAAGGCGTTTGTTGAGATGGAATCATCAGTGTTAACCAGGTGTTCAGTTATCGCACTCCTTATAGCATCACTGTCGCCTTTTCGCAACCATGCTGGATAGTGTTCTTGAATCCACTTGGATAGGATGCGCGTCAAACGACCAATGTACCTGACTGGCTCCACAGTAGCAGGTGAACTGATAAATGCACATAAAAGTGGTCAGATGCGGGATCTCGTCATTATGGCTTCTGTAGATCATTGGGCGACTGGAGAACACTATTCTTAGCATTGCCGTAAAGAATGTTCTTCTCAGAAATGGTGTGATCCTTCTCTTGAGAATATCACTTGCTAAATTTCCCTTTAAATCCAAGTTCATGTAGAGTTTCTTTTTCGGTGCAAGTGAAGTTTCATTCCTCCAAATTCTTGATTTGATATTTTTGTCAATGAATCTTGGTGGGTATCCATTTTGGATGAAGATTTCTCTCAAAAGACCTAATTCTGTTGCTAGAACATCGGGACTACAGATGCGTCAAATGTGGGTGACATACAAAATAACTCATATATATTTGTGATTGTACAGCTAAGCAAATGAATTCGTCGAAAAGAGACTCTTAGATGATCTACGTGTTTTGTTTTTATCAATGTGGATTTTGCATTAATATACAGTTTAGTGTTATATTGATGCATATCATCACTTTCAGAGGCCTTTCAACTGTAATTTTTGGATCTTATTGATTTAATGTAATTTAAAACATTAACTCTCTAATTATTATGGTCGCAGAACTGTAGAGCCTTATGAAGGAGTTATCGAAGAGAATATTGTCAGTGTTTATTGGTAGTAATAATAATTTACTCTATTACAAAACAGTACATTTGATACAGTGTGGAATTCTCAGCATTTCGTACAATTTTTTTCCTTCACATTCCCCAGTGGAATATAGGGCTTCAAGCTAGTGGCTTCAAGTTTCTGTAGCAGTGTTTATTTTACAGGATGGGGTTGCTAGCCTCATGCCTAACCTTTTCTCTTCACCAATCTTGTCAGTGGCTTAGTGAGGTAAAGGAGTTTGTTGGCGGGGGTCGAACCCCAGACCAATATTGCATCTAATTTACTCGTCAACAACAACAAAAAGAGCAATTTATCACAGGGTACCCTTAACCAAAATTGATGACATCCATCAATGTTTGACATTTTCAGAAACAGTAGGGTTAAGTGATGTACAAATTTAAAATGATAAGAAAAATAATATTCGTAATAATAACACAAAATTATAAGATAACGTGGGTAATGTCGTCATAAGATTGCAAGTATGGGAGAATAACTGAGCTATTTTTATGCTAACTGCGCAGTAATTTGTAAGTTTCACGTTTAACACTATCTTCATCACGCAGAAATCTGGCGGGCGGGCCAAATAGGATATCGTTGAGTCTCTGTACTCAGTTGTATCAGAATATAATCTTTTATACTGACTCTCAGTACTACCAGATGAAATGCAAGAGAGGGGAAAGTTGAGAATTGAGAGGGCGCTAAGAGTTAGACAATATGAAATTAGGCCATTCCTCGCATGAGTTCAGATGTCTGTCAAATAAAATGGTAACTAGCTGGTTGACTTAATGGAACAACACTTGCCCCACGAAAAACCTTTAATACCCTTCAAAATACGACATAGTCTTCTCTGAGTAGCATAGGAAAGATTAAGTTAGGAGGAGCGATAAAGAGCAATAGGTAAGATATTAAAGTTAACAAATTGTAAAATTAGAGGTTGAGTGATGCCTACCTGATTGTCTTAACTTCTCAATGCGGATGGTGATTAGACGGAGCATTTTCTTAGAAATCGACAAGGTACGGGATGACAGATCAAGAAAATTTAGAGGATAGAACTATATCAAGGTATTTATCGCTTGGGTTATTCTCTATATCAGTGCCCTCTAAACTACAAGCATCGTGTGAACTAATGAGTTCATTACGATCACGTGTATTCCTGAAGGTGAAATCAACTGCCTGACAATTAGTAGAGGAATTTAACGTAAAACCATTAAGCTTAAACCACTGGCTAATATCCAATAGAAGGTTATTCAGTTTGGAGAAGTCAGTTGAGGGAGTAACTAGCAACAAGGCAGTAGGTCGTCAGCATTTTTAACAAAGTCTACTTCTCCCGAATAAGGCAAGTCACGTGAAAAGAAAGAAAAAAGAGGAGGATGCGAAAGAACGACACCTCATAAATAAGAGTGCAGCCAGTTAACAGTCCAAGACTCAGTTGGTGTCTTGGAAAGTTTATTTAACAAAAGACGTCTAGAAACAGAGTCAAAAGCGGATGTATAGTCAAGGAAGGAACATCAAACATATTTAGCTCCCTTATCTAAGCAGCAAACAATTTTATGATTTGGGATAGCAGCAGCAGCATCTAAATTACATCGATTTATTCCTATTGGGATATTTAAATGAGGATATAATTTACAAAAAAATGACTTGAGATTACTTAATTCGCCTTTTTTTAAATATTTAATAGAATGAGTAGAAATGTGGATGATATCGTTGT